AGCAGGTGGAGTCGCGGAAAACGGTAAGTCTATGACAGCTAAAAAAAAAATTGAGGGATAATAACAAATTCAGTTGCCGTTTCTGAAATTAGTGCCCAAAAACAAAAAAATTCTTACTAGTAATTTTTTTTTAAAACAATGTTTTGGGTTCTAATACGTTGACAATTTGTTAATCGTATTTGATTTAGTAGTTTTTGTTTTTTTGCACCAGTTACCCACTCAATACCTCCTATACCACTGTATTGGTTTGAATGAAAGAGATCTCTTCTAGGGATAAGTGCGCCTTTGCTCACAATATCTCTAAATTCCATTATCAATGTACTGTATGTGCGCTTGGGAATATAAATAAATTTATTAAAATGTAATAAATATATTTAAATTTGACGGCCTCGGTGGTCTAGCGGTTTACCACATCGCTTTGGGTGTTTTTTGTGTATAATATGTATGTATTTATGAAAAAACAAATATATATATGTAATTGTATATACTTATCTAGTACCCATAACACTAGCTTTAGCTAGCTTAACTAGGGTCTAGATGGCGCTGTGTGAATTGTCCTGAATTTAGATTATAGAATGTCCCCAAAGAATAGTTTTGTTATGTATTTTCGATCTTCTAGAGTTAGAGATGAGCAACATTTTTATTAAATATGGAATATATTGCCAAAATTAAGTATGCTATACCAAGTGCATATATAAAAATATTTCATAATATTGTTTTGGATTTCTCCTTGACCCGCCGGACGCTGCGCTTTTCCCTGCTAGCTTGTTGCAAATAGTCCATTGTTGAAATGTAATGAGTGAACGGGCAATGCTAGCTAGAGTTGACAATGTACCAAAGTTTTTTTATATAGTATATATAGTAGTGGCCAATAGTCCAAATTCAACTATAATTAATTTAAATTATAAATTTGAACATTACTAAGGTCATATGTCAAAGACTACTTTTATACGTTTGTGTTAAATTTATGGTAGTGTGTAATGTTTTCTTATTTAATGTATTTTTATGCATAATTAATAAAAATATTACCATTATGCACTCTTCTATATGTAAACTATATGTGTGCGAAATTTTATACTCCGTCCGCGCATTTTCGTAAAATGAGGTACAAAGTTTTTGCTTCACATATAAATATATATATATATATATAAGATCTAATTTTCTCTGAACACTAAAAAAATGATCGCAGATTCAATTCCTCGCACATTGCAGTCATTTTATGTATTCATATTTGCGATTAAGTTGCAAACATTTTTCATATTCGCGGGCACAGCTACTATTATATATAGTTATTTACTTTATTGTGACTTTGAGTTATTTCATAATAAACATAGCCGCGAACTTGACCTCCAGTTGAGTGGCGGCATAAATAAATATAAACATTATCAGCGCAAACCGTTGAATAAATCTTAAAAACATATTTTACATATCTCCTACTGCACAACAAATGTATCCTTATTAAAAACTAGCTGTACTCGCGCCTTCGTCCGCGTGGAATCTACTTTATATTTCTAAAAGAAAGGAATTTTTCTAAAATAAAAGTAGTCTAAGTTACTCCTTATTACATCAGCTACCTGCCAAAAAAGTCCCGTCAAAATCGGGCCCACCATTTCAGAGATTAACCGGAACAAACAGACAGACGGACAGACAGACAAACAAAAATTGTAAAAGATGATATTTTGGTGTATATGCCGTTATATTCATATGCATGTAGTAAAAAACGGTTATTTCAATATTACAAACAGACACTCCAATTTTATTTATATGTATAGATTAGTAATGTATAATTTTGGTTTGTTATTTACTAGTTAATCCGTGCAACATCGTCTGAGTCCTAGCGTTATATAGACTACAATCTTAAATGATTTTTGGGCTACCAACACTAAATGAACTTTTTAATTCGAACATTCCTAACCGTAAACTACTAAACTAATTAAGTTAGTAACTACTAAGTTAATTTTAAACGATAAAGTTATTTTAGAGAATTATACACCGATACTCTTTCACTAAAATAACTTTTTAATTCGAACATTCATAAGGATAAAAAAAAACAAACCATTTAAAAGCAACACAGAGTATGTACACAAATAGTGATTCACTAAAATAACTTTTTAATTCGAACATTCCTAAAGATAAAAAACAAAACTAATCGTTCAATATAGCACAGAGTATATACACAGATACTGTTTTTATTGAAATGTCTAGGCATTGACGGTTAGGCAAGCTGCTGCTTAGTCAATTGACCTGTTAGGTATTATTACAGTAATGGCTTGTTATATTTTAAACAATGTTCTCGTAACTGGTTGGTTATGAAACATTTTAATTTTGAACTTTCCTGCGGTGGTGAGAAAGTTGAAAATGAAAATGAATTAATGTTGATTATTTGACCACTAGTTATATGAAAACAACTAGGTATAATTTTATTGCAGTGGGCTGCTGGATTTGGGTCACACTCGTATATTTCAGTCTAGATTTTGTTAAACGCTCACGTGCTCGTTTCAAGTTCAATATACTTGTAGTTTAAACTGTAGTTTCAGTTTTTATTGTTGACTTTTATGATCGTGTAACGAAAGTTTGTGGGTAATTAAATTTAACATCTGTCCATTTATGTAGTATGTTAGATGAAATAAGTGACTCTTATACCAATTGCCGTGTCTTTCTTATTATTTTAGGGGCGGCGCAGTATGCCATCTTCTGCCTGATCCTATTAGCCGTCATATCTGGCTTATTCTCCCTTTATGCATATCATTATTCAGACAGTCCATCCATCTTTTATTCAATCGTTTTCTTTCATTATATTCATATCATAAACACTTTAAATTAAGGCCCTAACTCCTCCGCGTTATATGTCCATACCAGGATAGTTTGTATAAATTAGTCCTCTATATAAGTAAGTACTAATATGTATGAAACCTCTTATAGAGATATAAGAGGTTTCATACATAGTGTAAAATGAAGTTGCCTTCAAAGTCTGCTCGCTTAGATGTTTTAAACTACGTAACGGATTTTAATGCAGTTTCTATAGATAGGAAGAATCAAGGGGTATGTTTATATGTATAATACATGTTCGCCCATTCGAAGCCGGGGCGGGTAGTTAGTAGGATATATAACTCTTTTATAGCTGTAATAATATTTGTTATTAAAAAGATATTTTATGTATTAATATTATATTAGTTTGGATGAAAGTATGTTTGTATACACTGTACTTATACAACAGTTTTTTTAGTTTCAGATTTTTAACAACAGTTTTCTTCACATTTGATTGCTCTAACAAATGAATATATAACAATAAAAAATGTAATAATATAATATATATATTTTAACAGTGATTAATTTGAAATTTCAATTACTAGAAGTACCCTTAAATTTCCGTTCCCAATATGAAAAGTAAACAATAAGCAAATGCGGTTTGATTTATTATTATTACTTATAGCTAAACCTTTATTACAACATCAAAAGGCAAGAACCAATGTATCCAGGTTACCTATATAGGTAATTCGTAATAAATACAACATGAATATAATCTAGGACGTCAATATAAAGCGGACAAGTGTGCCGTATCAATATTATTACGAGTAACCCAAATTGGTACAAGAGTATACTCGGCTTCATATAAACGTTAGTATAAGAAAAGTACAAAATTATCATTCATTCATTCATTCATAATTTATGATAGCTCTTGTCGCTGGAGCTCTTACCACTTTCCACGATCTTCCATCATGCTCTTTACCTTGATACAATAAGACTTTCTTTCAACACGAAATTCTGTCTTCCATTTGCTGATGTAAATTACTACAAAATTATCATTCATTCATACATAATTTAACAGCGATGCTCTTGTAGGTGGAGCTCTTACCACTTTCCACGATCTTCCATCATGCTCTTTACCTTGATACGACACGACTCCAAATCTGTCTTTCATTTCCTTGTTTTAAATTAGCATATTGAGTATATATTAATATTTATATGTGTAGTGTCGACTACAAGGTCTGACCCCATAAGGGTCATATTTCTGTGCCTTATTCAAAATTACTCATACTTTTGCCCATCAATAGCATTCAAGGAAGTAAGCACGCTGCCTTGTATATGTATTTGTATCAGTTGTGTAGTACCCATAACACAAGCTCTAACTAGCTTAACTTAAGTCTAGATAGCGTTGTGTAAAAATTGATATACATTTTTAAGATTTCGTGTGCTTAAGATTTTACAATACAGTAACAACATGTAACTTGTTTTTTAAGTGAACTGTACTATATATAGATACGAAATAAAGTAAATAAAACGTTTAAGACGCGACGCAGTTGGTTGTGCTGCAAAATATTACATATTGTATTCGTACTAAATAATGGAAGATAATTCTCTGTCTCCATTTATTTGGTAATCCTATCTAATATTGCATATACCGATGCAGACTTTTATTAAGAGGTTTGGGGCTATTGCTCGGTGCTTAGACTATAAGCACTAGGACCTACCTATCCGTCAGATACAACAATTGAAAGATATTCTTCGGTGCGATTGTTTTTATTTCCTCAGTATAGAATATTTGAGATGATATATTAATAATCTTTTGAAAATATTAAGCGCTGTTTTGTTGACTAATCTTTAAATAGTAGAATAGAATAGAATCCTCAATAATGATTTAAGATGAAGGTTTATATTATGTTGTAATACAGAAAGCTGAGAAATTTAAAGATTTATAATGTATCCGTACGAATTCAGCTAGTTATGTATACACTGAGGTGCACTGCACTAGTTGGCCTGCGCAACTTCGTCTGCAGTTCATTTCTCCATCTTTTGAAATATTTTTCATTGCAACTCCGCTGCTATTGGTCGTAACGTAATGTTATATAGCTTAAAGCTTTCGAATTTTTCAATTCGAACCAGTAGTTCCTGAAATTAGCGCGTTCAAACAAACAAACAAACTCTTCAGCTTTGTAATATTAGTATAGATTTACGATTAATTATTCCAATTGTAATGAATGTTATCAATTTGTTCACAGATTATGTGGCCGGTGGGGAATTGTTTACGCATCTCTACCAGAGGGAGTATTTCAACGAAAGCGAAGTTCGGATATACATAGCGGAAATTATACTCGCTCTCGAGCAGTTGCATAAGGTACGTTTATATATGATACTAGCTGTACCCGCGACTTCGTTCGCGTGGAATTTAACTTTAATTTTCTAAGATAAAAGTACTCTAAGTTACTCCTTATTACATCCGCTACCTGCCAATAAAAGTCCCGTCAGATTCGGTCCAGCGATTTCAGAGATTAGCCGGAACAAACAGACAGACAGACAAAAATGGTAAAAAATTATATTTTGGTGTATGTACTGTATTTATATTAATATACATGTAGTAAAAACGGTTATTTCAATATTACAATCAGACACTCCAATTTTATTTATATGTAAAAAATAATGTGTATGTAAATTAATTTGACCTCAGACTTTCTTATCCTGTAATTTTCCCCCAATGAGCTATCGGTGGATAGTTTATCATCCGTTAAACTCCATCACGTAACCATTTCATTTCCATATAGAAAATCGTCACTGTACTTCTTGTATTACAGCTTTACTAATGTCTACCAATTCTTGTCGTTTTCATTAATAATATTATATTTCTCCAATAATTAGAGCTAAACATGAAAGACCTAGTATTAACATTGTTAGTAAGTTCTACTAATTGCCTTCGTCATATCAACCTTGTAATAACACATGCGCATAATTATTATTTTTAATTAATTTCCACGATTTGTATGAATGATTGATCTATTTCTATTATCGTGATGTAACGTAGAGGTCGTGTGACATTAAATATCAGTGTACATATGTCAAAATTACAGTATATTGTAGTTAATACGCGAAGAAAAAATTATACCCCTTAGGAAATTACGTGGTCGCAGGAATATGAAATTTCGCACACATAGAGAAGGAGTACAGAGAGCTAATATTTTTTTTTTATTGTTTATTAAAAATCATCGTCATCTGCTTCTTCCTTATCCCATTTATTTGTGGTCGGCGTAATATGTCTTCCATCATCCCTGTTCGCAGTCATCTCGTTATTTACTGCCTTTCTTACCATATCATCATTCACACAGTCCATCCATCTCTTTTTCGGCCTTCCTCTGCCCTTACAACCAACCACTTTCATATGTAACATCTTCCTTAAAATATTATCTTCATTCCTACGCATTACATGCCCATACCATGATAGATTATACTCTTATACTCTTTTGTTAATTAATTATGGTCGAATTTCGACCACTGGCCGTTCACTATTGTATAGTTATATAGTCTCTGTCTTCTGTAATGTATAGGTAGGTACCGGTAATAAGCAATGTTACTTTAATTTTGATGATTTTAAACACTTCCTTGTTTTTGTCTCCAAAAAAATAAAATATTTATTCATATAGGATCTTTGGGCCTCCTATGGATGTCATATTTTTTTTACCATCCACGCTTGTTTCTTCGATTGTCAACTGGTAGATATTTTTGCTACTTATTTTTTTCCTCAGTTCATAGTGCTTATTATGCATTCATATATTTGTAAAACTGTAATTTTTATTCAACAGCTCGGCATAATCTACCGCGACATCAAACTAGAAAATATACTCCTTGACGCCGAAGGCCACATAGTGCTAACAGACTTTGGATTGTCCAAAGAGTTCTGTGGCGGTGAGAGCAGAGCGTACAGCTTCTGTGGTACCATAGAGTATATGGCGCCGGAAGTCGTCCGCAGCGGCAATCAGGGGCACGATATTGTGAGTATTGAACCTTATATTAATACGTATATTACATATATATGTACAAGAGTGAAAAGATGAATTCATATTTTTTTACGAATTTTGAGCGCGTGAGTATTTGGGTCGAAGATATTACACGCAAGCTTAATATTAGTGAATATTAATAATTTGAGAGCAGTTATAATAGTATGAACTGTAATGTGATATTACACTGTTAATCATTTTTAAGTAAATACAAAGGTAAACTACAACTGGATATGTTGAAATGAGAAGAGGTTAAAAGTGTTATATGCTCGAAGATTATTTTTCGGTATAAGTGTCTTATTTAATGTTAGTAATCTTATAATGGAGTATAATTTAATATTTATTATAACACTCGGAATCATTACTTTTACGATCTCTAAGGTACATTACAGTACAAGCGTAAGTTCAACGTTAAACGATTATAAATTTGAAGCCATTTTTAAAATCTTCTATGAAGAACTGAACAACTCTATTGTGATACTTTTTTTGGATTTACTCGTAAAATTATTTTTGAAATTTTTATTATCTCCATCTACGTTCTCGACATATATGTATAATCAAATCAAATCTAAATCATTTATTCATGTAGGATATATTAGCCATTTATGAATGTCAAGTTTTTGTATTAATTTTTTTCCCTACCGTCAAGTATATAACTTAAGTTCTATAGTGATATTAGTCACAGTAAATAAAGCGATTATAACATAATTATAACTACACTTTCAAACACGAAATCCCATTAACTGAAGTTAATAATCGAAAAAATCTTATTAAGCTTAGTAAATCTTAGTATAGTCTATGCCCGTAGGCGTTAGCTTAAGCGTGAGCCGAGTTTGTTTTAAATTTCGATCTAGTTTTCTTTCATTATACTTAGTCTTCCATGAAACTAGATTTCGTTAAATTACAATCTACGCCTGTATGCAATAGCTTACGCGTGAGACGATTTTGTTTTTGAATTTCGAACGATTCTTCGTTCGTCATTTTCAAAGTCTTCCAAGAAACTAGATTTTGTGAAACTATAGTTACGCCTAGAGCAGTTAGCTGCTTGAGCGAAGTTTGTTTTTATTTCGACCGAGTTTTTGTTCATCATACTCAAAATCTTTCATATAATTAGATTTCGTTAAACTATAGTCTACGCCCGTAGGTGTTAGCTTAAGAGTGAGCCGAGTTTGTTTTAAATTTCGAACGAGTTTTCTTTCATCGAACTTAGTCTTCCATGAAACTAGATTTCGTGAAATTATACTCTAGGCCCGTAGGCAATAGCTTACGCGTCAGACCAGTTTGTTTTTAAATTTCGAATGTGTTCGTTCATCGTACTCAAAGTTTTCCATATAACTATATTTCTTGAATCTATATCCTAAGCCCGTAAGCTTTAGATAACGCGTGAGTCGAGTTTATTTTAAATTTCCAGTCATTATATTCTAAGTCTTTCATGAAACTAGATTTCGTGAAACTAATGAAGTGCCTTGTGGTCTGACGGTTTAGCACACCTTCAATTATAGCGGATTCGATTCCTTACACGGTACAAGCATTTACTTACATACATTTATTTGAATGAATACAAATTGAATTCAAATAAATGTATCTAAGTGAATGTTAATTGTAATTCATATCAGAAAGTGTGCCTCTGTCACCTGTATGGATTGATTTTATGTAAGTACGGATAAACTGGGTCAAGAGCACTTGTTCTACCATTGAACTATGCCTACGTACTGACGTTGGATGTAACGTCATTATGTTTTAATTCCTATTTACGTAATCTGTATACAGGCTTCGGCTGATGGGCCGCTATGTAAATCATAATGTTTTTGTTTTTTTTTTAATTAGAATGGTAAACAAGCTGACAGATTTTTTTTAAATTGTAATATATTTGTATAGCACAAGAAATAACAGTATTCCATTATTGCCTATAGAAACAACTATACAACCATATTCGGGCTAAAAATATTGATTTCTATAGTTAATTATACTCCTAAATATCCTTGACAATTGTCCTAGCCATTTGGTCTACTTTCCTCATATGATTACGCTTAGTTTGATTCTAAAGAATAGGATAAATCTGAAGAATAATCATAGGAAAGAGCGAAGATTAGCTCGCTTGATTTAAATCCTCGTTAATATAGACGAAGTCAGCTGTTAGTAATGAATGAAACTACACAATAGAAAGTCAACATTGCAAGCACTTTCCGTTCCACCTGCTTGTTACTGTTAATCGATATTCAACTCTAACGTCAAAGCAGTAAGTTTATAATACTTTTGCCACTCAATCAAAACGCGAACTATATGACAATGTGCAGTAGTTGAATTAATTAACACTGTTAAAGAACGCTGTTGATTATGAACTAGGTGTATTTTTTATTTATTTATTTCAGACTACTAGGTCCATATTATGTTATAAATTTTTATATATTAAAATTACGTGTCAAGTTGGTTGTCTGCGATGGACTCCTAAACTACTGAACCGATTGTTAATTTGATGGGGACCCGGGCCACGAATGCTTTGAAGCTTTTGACCCGATTGCAGCTTCGTCAACCTCAATGTCAGGTTACTTTTTATCCGGATATAGTCAACGGTGTCATGATCCATTTTATGCCACTGGAATGAGAAGCAATTGGCCCATCTGATGGAAATGGATAATAATTGGTACAGTACATATTATAGATACATTTTAAATCACCTATTAACCAGTGAAAGAATATTGAGACTCTATTACCCATTTTTTTACCCAATATGCTAACAATGTGTCGGTTGACCTACACTTGGTTCCCCTGGAAATTAGGATGAGCTAATACCTGATTTATTATCATCTTATCACCTTAGACTGTCAGCATACGCCCTTACTGCCGACGGTTCCGTAATCATACATTTAATAAAAACTCTCAAATATGTATGTTACTAAGTTTACTTTCCATGTAATAAAATCTGCACTTACTCTCTCTTTCTCGTTTTATAATATTACTAACCACCCGTCCCGGCTTCGCACGGATGCATTACAAATCTTTGAATTTCTCAACTTGTTCTATACTATAACACGTATGTATTATATGTATATAAACCTTCCTGTTGAATCACTCTATCTATTGTTGAAAACTGCATTAAAATTCTTTGGGTAATTTAAAAGATATAACAGACAGCAGTGGCGACTTTGTTTTATGCTATATAATAAAGATTATAGGAGTATACTTTTTAAATATATACTATTCTCCATAGGTTTGTTCAAGACGTTTGTCGCGAATCGTAATAACTGGTAACCTGATATATTGCGAATGTTCTCCGTTTGACGTGAATGCACTTCGCAAGAAACCAGATTATTGTTTTTTTCTTATCGTAATCAGAGTAGACATTTCAATCGGTACTGTGCAGTTTAGATATGTAGGTTATCGGTTTTGCTCTTATAGAATGAGCAAACAGTCTTAGATCAAAACATTGTTAATTTTTTGTTTTGTTTTTTCCTGTGATGTTTAAAACTTTGACCTAGTTGACCGCTATATACTATTTGTTTTTTAATGAACTAAGATTAACGGGGGATATAGAGGTTTGGAGAGTGGGAGAGGGAGGAGGGGGGAATATTGTCTAGCAATGAGGCACAAAATAGGCTATAAAATAGATGGACTGGTGCCTGCGATATCGGTGTACACCGGACGGGCACCAGGATGACAGGATAACCAGGTAGTTAGGTCAGTTAGCCCATTGTGGTGAATTCACTAAGAAACAACCAGGATTGTTTGCATTTGTCATTAGTCCACTTTATTAATAATCTCCTAAATCTTATTGAGGTGGTAAGTTTATAACAAAAATCTTAGGATTTCCGTAGTGGAGTGAGACAAACTTTTTAGCATTACATGAATTCACCGTGCGGAATCCAGAAAAAATCCTTTCAGTCACTCAAAGGACTTGTAGGTTTGGAAGAAATGTTTACGTGCGCTGCTTTTGCAGCGCATAACCTTCTTCACCATTGTCTGTCTATTTATTTTTTAAGACATGTATCTATTAATATTTTGTACTTTTAAAGATTTTGCTTGTATTCAAAATTTATTCATCTAAGACATTATGCAGCTTATAGACTTAAAATTTTTTCCCTACCGTCCAGTTCAGTATACAGATTCAAAATCTCTCGCTCCCACTTCGTTCCATATAAATTAACATAAAAAATATTTGAAGTAGGTTTAAACTTGCATGGCAACTGCTATTGATTCTTATATGAAATTAAACGGAGTCGCCAAGTGTGGTGGCATTGGCAGCCATCCAACATGGAGATGAAATTTCACTTCATTCATTGTTGAAAGCTGCTTTGAGATTTTGTAGTAATGCGGTAAATTATCTGAGGTAGACATAGTAAAGTGTTGTCTGTGTAGGAACTTTAGTCTCACCTATTTTTTTTTATTAAGTGGTTTGTATTACGTTAAACACCATTGTTTTTAGCTTATCGCCAAAAATTATTCTTAGTTAAAAAATAACATTCTAAATTTAAACAATCAAACTTGTTTAAATTTAGATTGTTTATTTTTATTTTAGAAATATATGTTTAATTCAAATATTATTGACATGGAACAAAAAATATGTTAAAAGTGCGACAATAATAATAAAAATACTTATTAAAAAAAATGTTTTTCGATATAATAATGATTAAAAAATATAATCATGAATTGTATTTCTAAAATTTTATCGCTTATCGGTTTATCACAAATCCAAATTACTCATTGGCGGAGAGCGGAAATTAAATTAATACGAAATGATTTTAGGGCAATGATAATAATTTTGTAATTAAAATGTTTCCGGAACGTTTTCAGGACGATTTAAAGTAACTGCTACAGGAGATTATAAAGTAAGATATTTTTTCTGTCTAATCAGTAATGGGCGTGAAGATATATTCTTTTATGTATTTTATTTCTTTATTTCCGTTTATGTATTTGTAAAAATTAAATGCTTCAAGCATATGCAAAATATTATGTATGTATTTAAAATTTCCTTGCTACGAAGGTTTATCAATGCT